CTGCTTCAAAGGAGGAGGATTGTTCAGGGAATAATTGAACCAGGAATGAAGGTAGTTAAGAAGAGGTGATATATATTCAGTGCTTTCCTTTTTAGAACATACATACATACATACATACACACACACACACACACATACATACATACAAACAGAACTGAATTTCCATTTTTAGCTGTAGTTCCAGGATCTGCCCTCTGTTCTTTGTACCTTCTCAAAGGTACAGAGTTTGCAGTTGCAGGCCACTATTTCTTTTAAAATATAATTTTTATTAAGAATTTTAATCACAGTTGTAAAAAAACTAATACAAACTAAACTTAGAGAAAGAGTATAGAAATAAAAGTTTGGTCTCATGATTAAGCACCAGGCTAGAAACCAGGACACTGTGAGTTCTAGTTCTGCTGGCTGGGTGATTTTGGGCCAGTCACACACTCTCAATCCAACTCACCTCACAGGGTTGTTGTTGTGGGGAAAAGGAGGTGGAAGAAGTGTTAAGTATTTTCACCACCTTGAGCTATTTATAAAAATAATAAATTCAGGATTAAAAAATTTAAAAAAATGAAAAACAAAGAAGAAAGAATAAAGGGAACAAAAAGAAATATATAGTGACTTCTAACCTTCATCACAAGTATAAACAAATGTAATAACTCATCACCCCTCTAACATTAAGCAGATGTCTCTTCAACCCATATTCCATCGCTTAGGTATAAGCAAATCTAAAAATCATCAACTTTTCAATCTCAAAGTCAGCAGAAAGTCTATAAGGGTTGCTAGAACTTTGAAAAAAAAAAGGTCTTATTTTAACCTTGATCAAATAAACCAACTTTATATATTTCTTCCTTTTACTTATAACAATCTTTAATTCAATCAAATATTATTGTAGGATTTGATTTCTCTTCAATTCTTCTTTATCCTATCACTCAAATTTCTTCAAGGCTTTAGCAAGTCTTTTTTTTGTAGAGGATATAAAAAAAATTCCAGGTGATTCTCTTGGTTTAACATTTATATTTCCCTTTTAATTTTTAAAACCTCAGCCAGTTTATTTTATGTATCCAGTATCTATGGAGATTCTCAATCATCCAGGTCATAGTTGTTCCAAAGGTGCTTTTCCAAAAGGCAACTGGACTTTGTTGTTTTTTCCCTTTGAAAATATTTCATTTCTCATCCAAGTGTGCCAGTATACTGTGTATCTGAGACACAATCTTGGCTAAAAATGGCTATCCCTGATATACTTTGCACAAACTGGATGTGGGTGAAGAAGACATAACCATAAACCAGGCAGGGTCCACCCTCCATGGCAAATGGGTGGGTTTTGTTCTTTAGTTTCAAGTGGGATGGTTAGTAGAATATAACTAACATTGGCTTTTGGGAAACAAAGCTGCCTCTCTTGTAACTTGGAATTTTCTGGGTTTAGATGACATACTAGGGCTGTTACAGATGGGGTTTAGCACAATGTGTGAATATAGCCACAGACTCCACCAATCTGATGGAACTGTTACCATACATGGAACTAAAAAACATATTAGGAGATACATTATCTGAGCAGGCATTGTTAGGACTTATTACACCCAGCAAATCTCTAAATATCTTTCTGAGATAACCTTTATTTACTAAACAAATTGCTATTCCTTGTGTGAAGAGAAAGTCTCAGTTGAAAATTTGAAACCCCATTTTATGCTAAGAAATGTGAACCGAGTTACACATACTGTTACTTAATTCCCAGCTTCATTGATTAAAAGTGACTCGCATTGATTAATGAACTGCAGCTTTAGATTAGTAACTGCTGATTAAAGCTTTCCATTCTAATAGTTAAAACAGAAAACTGGAAGGGGTGTTAGTAAAATCTTTTTCTTCTTGTTTCTCCCTTTGGCAAAAAAAAAACTGAGTTGCCTGTGATTTACATGGCATTGCTCCTGCTTATACAACTGAGTGCATTGAGATTTGCAGCCAGCCTTTGCATTAAGTCAGCCGGTCATGTTTTGCTGACTGAAAACATATTTAGAATGCTTGTTGGAGGAAAAGTTATTGTCTGTCTCCATCCAATGATAATGTTTGTAGCTTCTTGCCAACATCGTTCACTTTAGGACAGAATGTAGCATTTCTGAACAAGCATTTGGCACAAGGTTTCATTGCAGCCTTTACAGAATGAGAGCCTGTAGGAGGAAAGACGCACAGCCACAGGCAAAAGCTGCAGTTATTAATCAATCACGAAGAGCAAGCTCTTTAGGCTTTCTCTGTAGGAAGAGATGAACAATTCTTCTCTGCTTCAAGATGCATGTTTGGCAAATTAATCAGTGGTACCTGAGTCAAAACAAAGAACAAGGAATAAGAAGAGGCTATAGTATGGAACCAGTTCTGCATTCAACATGATTTTTATGCATATGCTGATATTTGCTGGTACTTTGTTATGATTATTTTTTTTCATGACTTGGCATCATGTATATTATTCAGTGGAATCAATATTCCAGCATTGGCTGTTGTTTTCCTATCCTACGGCTGCAATTATTACTTGGTCCATATATCTCTTTTGTTGTTTTAATCATGGCAGATAATAATAATAATAATAATAGTAGTAAAGTTGGAAGGGACCTTGGAGGTCATCTAGTCCAACCCCCTGCTCAGGTAGGAAACCCTATACCATTTCAGACAAATGGCTGTCCAGTCTCTTCTTAAAAACCTCCAGTGTTGGAGCATTCACCGCTTCTGGAGGCAGGTTGTTCCACTGGTTAATTGTTCTAACTATCAGGAAGTTTCTCCTTAGTTCTAGGTTGCTTCTCTCCTTGCTTAGTTTCCACCCGTTGCTTCTTGTCCTGCCTTCAGGCGCCTTGGAAAATAGCTTGACACCCTCTTCTTTGTGGCAGCCCCTGAGATATTGGAACACTGCTATCATGTCCCCCCTTGTCCTTCTCTTCGTTAAACTTTAGGAGAGCTGGGAAAATCTGGCTGTTCACCCAGGCCTTGGTGAGGGTGAGTGAGACCCTCTCATGCCGTTATGCTTGCCATCTTTTATCTTTATCTTTTATGTTTTATTGATTTCATGTAATTTGATTGTTGTGAACGGCCAGAGTCATTGAGGTTCAGTTTAAATAATAATATTGTCACCCAGTCTAAACATCTGGCTATGTGTCCAACAATAACAACAACAACGTTAGTAGAAATATCAGAAGCTTTGTGCAAAGATGAGTGGCACAATGGAAGACACAGTTGCTGATCAATGATGATAGGTTAATAGCAGGAGAGGAATCTTTCAAGGAGACTCATTTTCACCACTATTGTTTGTCACTGCATTGATTCCTCTGTCAATAATACTGAACAAGTCATGCCATGGTTAACAAACATCAAAAACATCTAGCTATCTTATCTCTTTTACACGATCTGAAGCTGTATGGAAATAGAATTGCTGCTCAATGCTATCCTTATATACAGCCAAGATACTGCAATGGAATTTGGACTAGACAAATATGCCATCCCCACCATCAACAGGGAAAAAGTAGTAAAAACTGAAGAAATAAAGATGCACCATGGAAGTAATATCAAGCATCTGAATGAAGATCATAACAAAATACCTGGGCACCCTTCAAATGACAATATCAAGCACACACTGAAGTCAAGGTTAGTACTGTAGTGACTACATCATGAGAGTGAAGAAGTCAGTGGAGGAAATACCATCAAGATAATTAACACCTGGGCAATTCCAGTCATTAGATACCTGGCTGGCATAGTATACAGGACTCAAGCAGTATTAAAAGAATTAAAAAAAAATGAAAATGAATCATGCCCTTCACTGTGACATTGACAGACTCTTCTTACCAAGGAGCATAAAAGGGTGAGGAATGTTTATTTTATTTATTTATTTTTGTTTGTTTGTTTGTTTTATGCCACTCATCTCACATACTGTGACTCTGGGTGGCTTAATGTTGCTCAGAGTATGCATATACAAAGACAGTTGAAGAAGAAAGGCTATTGGAAGAATATCTGAAGGACAATAAGGAAGATGCACTGAAACTAGAACATCATTTGGTCTTCTTGCCTACGAGAAGACCAAATGAAAAATAAAAAAGTGACATTGCAAGGCAAAGCATTACATGGCCAGGTCACAAAAAACTAGCAGGCAAAGCAGATAACAAGTCTTGGCAAAGGCTAAGAGCCAGCAAGTTAAAGAGAGAGACAGAGGGGCTAATTCTGTTTGCACAAGACCAAGCCTTAAGAACAAATGCGTACAAAGCCAGAATTGAGCAGATAGCAACAGGCAGCAACTTCTACAAAGAAGCTGAAGAAATCACGATATAGAAACTACTTGGGTAATTGCTGCAAGAAGATCACACAGACTGACCACAAACAATGGCATGACAAAGTATAATAATGGTGTATTGGAAGAGCTGCAAGAAATATCATTTGCCTGGAAGCAAGAAATAGCGAGAGCCCAAAATAGACAAAGTAATAGAAAATGAATACACTAAAGTGCTCTGGAACTTTATAATTCAAACACCTGCCACATAATACACCAGACTTAACAACTGTTGATAAGAGTAAAAAAGGAGATATTGGACATTACAGTAATAGGTGCCTTAGGTGCTATTACAAAACAACTGGTGCACTACTTGGACACCGTTAGCATTAACAAGGAAAAAATTGATAAATGGAGAAAAATGCAAATAGGGGATCAGACCTATAGGTTCCTTACGTATGGTGTAAAGGTAGCTATCCACTTTGGGCAGAAGTGGCCACTACTAACTATATGTAAGGTAAAAAAAACAACAACATATTTTGTAGTGTATGTTGAAGTTTTCAGCTGTAATCTCATCTCCAAATGGAGAGAAAATATTTTGGAAAAGTCTAAGGAACTGCTGTTGCATTGCCTTTACATTCTTGGGTGAGATGGGTCAGTGGTCTGACTCAGAATGGCAACTTCCTATATTTCTACAGGTATGAATCATTGTTCTGGCTTGGATAAACTTCCTGACTGAAGTAAATAAAGCCAGAGCAGTTAATCATATAATCACAGCTTTGCACAGTGGCAGTATCGTAGCCAATGAGGTTTATCCGAGGCGCGATTATTGCTAATTGAAAACTTTTCATATAATCACAGATATACAGTGGTCAGGCTCCTTCCTGCTCATTTGCTTTGGATGCATGAATTTTAATTTTTTTGCAGTCTATGTCAGTTTGGGAAATGTCCCCAAATTTTCATGTCTCAAACAGAAATGAATCAAACTGCAATAAAACATCTTCTGCATAAGCAGTGAATTCGATGTTTGCTGGTGAAGTGCAGTACCATAAGCATCTGGACATTGAGAACAAATATTCTCTTATTCTTTGCAAAGAATATACGTACAAACGTTTGTGTCTGTGAAAGCCTCAACAATTGTGGAATTATATATAAAGATCAAATAGGAATAAAGAAAGTTAAAGGACAACCGAAACAACCACCCCACACGTGAGACACCACAAGCCAAGAAAAGAACGAGCAGCTAAAGGAGGAAGGAAACTTGGGGAAGTTGCCTTTTCTCTCCCGCCCAATGAAAAGAGCGCGACGGCTGAAGGGACATGTAGTCAAACCTTGGGCGACCTCGGGAAGCAGAGCTGAGCTTCAGAACTACGCTTCCCAGCAACCTTTTCGCAGGTCGATTTCTCCCACCGTTCATCTTGGGCGCAAACGATCACGTTTTGTTTATCGCCGGAGCCCCGCCCTTTCCTAACTCACGAGGGATGTCGTCACTCCTCATGAATATTAAGAAGGCGCTCGAATGGCGTTTGCTCGTTAGGGAGAGCGAGGGAGGCAAGCCGAAAATTACACCCTTCGTAAGAGGCCTGCTTTAATTAATATTCATAAGGAGCCTGAGGAGGAGAGGAGAGGAGAGGCCACGCCGGGTGGGAGGGAGGGAGGAAGGAGGCGGTGGCTGCTGCTGCCGCTGCTGCCGCTGATCCTGTCTCTTCGCCAGTCCCTAATGGCGCTCGCGACAACGGCAGCAGCTGCGCGGCGGCAAGGCTGAGCCGACTGGAACGTTAAGACACCGACGGAATGTTCACTGTTGCTACATAATCCCGCGCCCCCTCCCCCTTCGGAACGCGGCTCGCCCGGGCGTTCTACAATGGAACCTGCGCAGCAACCACAGCTTGGAAGCAGAGAAACGCCGGCCCCGATGATCGGCAAGGGGGAGCGGCCGAGCAACTCGGGCCAGGCAGCCCCCGGCATCGAGAACGGCAATGGCATAGGAGGACCCAGCCCGTTGGACGGGGGCAAAGGAACAGCCGCCGTCGCCGGAGCCGCGAGAACAGGGGTAGTAGTCGGCGGCCACCATCGGCGAAGGAAACGAGGGGCCGCGGCCACCGGCTGCGGTGCTTCGTTGGCGCTAGCGGCCAACGGGACTCAAGCGGCGGCGGCGGCGGCTATTCCCAGCAGCGGCGCCAACTCCCTCCTGTTGCGGAGAGGCAGACTGAAGAGGAATCTCTCGGCGGCTTCTTCCCCCGCCGCTCCGATCGCCGCTGCCACCGCGCTGGGGACCCGCAGCTTAGATCGGAAGACCCTGCTTTTGCTGCCCAAGCCGCCCCGGCAGCTTCAGCCTCTCCAAGCCCCAGAGCGAGACTGGGTGCGGCGGGACCTACAGCGAGGATGCGTCCATGTCTACTATTACTATCACCAGCAGCAGCAGCAACAACAGCGGGGTAGCGGCGGCGGCGGCGGCTGCTCTCTGCTCCCCGTGCTTTGCAACCTGGAGACCACGGCTGCTGAAGTGGCGCTTCGGTTGCTGCAACTCGGACACCGGGGAGGAGGGAGTAGTAGCGCTGTCCGGGTTTGGGGGAAGGCGGCGGCCGCCATGGCCGAGGCTCCGCTGCCCCCTAAAGAAGAGGAGGCGGCGGCAGATGATTTGCTTCTACAACCATCGGCTTCTCTCGGCGGGAAAGAAGAGGCGCTGCCCGAGCCCGTGGAGGCTCCGACTTCTCCAGCGGGAAGTTTAACCCCGATCCAAGTCGGGAGAAGGCCCCGAAGCCGTCGAGGGGCCCCCAACGGCTTGGGAGCTGGAGAGGCGGCGGTTGTCCGGCCCAGGCGCCTGGCTCTCAGTGGAGGAGAGAGCGGCCGGGCGAGTGGGCAGCCCAGCCTTTCCCCCTCCGACGGCAGCCCCGGACGGGCCTTTCCGCCGCCCCGCACCGAACTCTACCTGTCCGGCCCTCCGCTCTCTTGCCCGTCCCTCTTGGGAGGGTCGGATACCGAGAGCTTCAGCCCCAGCGCCGAGAGCGCCTCCGACCGCCTGGATCCTTATAGCGGGGGCGGGGGCTCTTCGTCGTCTTCGGAAGAATCGGAAGCGGATCTGGCGCCTCCAGCCGCGGCGAAGGAAGAAGGAGCGGGATCGGGGCCTGGAAGGAGCCAGCCACGCCGGCCGGGCGACCCGCTTTCGGTGCACAGTCCGGAATCCCGACTAGGGAGAGCTTCGGGGGACTCCCCGGGCAAGGGGAAGGCTTTGCGGAGAAGTTCCTCTCCTGCTGGGGAAGCCGCCTCTCCGCAGCAGCCTCCGGCCTTGTATGTCCAGCTCCACGGGGAGACCGCCCGCCGGCTGGAATCGCACGAGAAGCCCCTGCAGATTCAAAACGACTACCTCTCGCAGCTGGGCTTCCGGGACCTGTGGCGGGTGCAGGAGGAGGGCATGGACTCGGAGACCGGCTGCCTCATCCGTTTCTATGCAGGTGGGTGAGAAATGAATGGGAGGCGTGTTTTGTGCTCAAGAGGAGCGTGTGAATCACCCGTTTACCTTTCCGCTTCCTGGGTTTAACGAAGTGAGAGGGGATCGCTCTTGCTCTTCGGAAGAGACCGGGTGGGAAAACGAGGCGATAGGTTTGCTCACGTATTCTGGCGTGCCTTTAGTATAGGGATAGTTAACCTGTGGAGTATTTTAATGGAGGAAAGAATACCACTAGTCGGTGAGGTGGGAAAATCGGGCTTTAGCGGGTGGGGGACTCTAGGGGGAAAGATGTAATCGCCTTCCTCGATACAAGTAGTGGGGTCCCTGTGGCTTTATCTTTTTTCCGTGTTTCTTGTATCGTGGAGTTTTTGGGAAGACTTCCAAGGATGGATCAGAAATGTCCAGAGTTCTGATCCCTTTTGTCTACATTTTCCAGTCTGTTTATAATTAAGTTAGAAACCGTGAGCAGGGAAAGGTTCTGAAGAAAGAATGAGTGCAGAAGATCTGTTCGAAAAGAGAAACTCCTGATTGGCTTTTGGAACTTGCTGTGTACTCTGTAATTTCTTCAGACACTCATGGACAAGGAAGGAGGAGTGAAGGTTGTCTGAAGAAACTTGTGTGTCAGGCTTGTGGAAGGGTTCTACTGTCTGCAGATATTCTTTCTCTCACCTCGCCCCCCCCCCCCCTCCTCCAAATTTGCAATAAGAGAAGCAGGTCAGAAAAGTTACTACTTCACCTTTAGGAGAGAAAGCATCAGCCACTACCTGTTTGTTGAGGCACCTGAGAGGAAATTAGGGAATGCTGTTTCAAGGCATTTGCAACTCCTTTCATCAGGCAAAAGAAAAATATATGCATACGTGAAAGATTAAATTTTCCGTTTTCTAGATGGAACTAATTCACGTTTACAAAATGCTGTTTGTTGGTTTGTAAAAGTGTTCTGGGGCAAAATAAAAATACAGGTATATACAGGAATCTAAAAAGTCTGAGGATTGTCAGAAACTGCTGAGATGTAATAACCTATGGCTTAATTACCTGAACAAGCTTTGTTTACAATCTAAAGTCAGATCTGCCTGGTGCAGTTTAGATTCATTGAATCTGGGAATGAATTTCTGTTTCCTCATGGGTGAAAATCACTACATATTAAAAATGGAAAGGCAAAACATCAGTTTTCTGATACTCAATTTCACTTTAATTTCTTAAGGTCCATAATGCTGAATGTAGCCTGCCAGCTGACTCTTTCTTCTGTTTTACCCTGGCAAGTCTTGATCATCATCTTAACTTAAAATAAAGATTTATTTTTTTTAGTTCTACGTAAAGAGCTAAATATATATTGTTTATGACAGTGGTGGCATGAGGGCACATGTGCCGTTGCCCCAGCCCCATCTCTCCCTGCAGCCCCCTCCTCACCAGCAGCCCCCCTGGAGAGTCGCCCCCCCTGAGCGTGGCTCACGTGGAGCAGCGCAGCCAAGGACATGGCAGCCAGGCAGCGGGGACAAGACTCCACCCTCGCGCTCTGTTGCATGCAATTGATGCTGCGGGGTGTGGGTGGAGGGCGTGGCCACTATGGCGCTGCTGGACCACCTGGGCAATCTGTTGAGTGACCCTGCGGGTGGGCAGGAGTGGGGCGGGGCAGGGGCAGAGCGGGGTGGGTGGGACAGGGGCAGTTTTTGGGCACTCGGTCTCTAAAAGGTTCGCCATCATTGGTTTATGACATTGATGGTCGTTGACCTACTGACTTGATATCTATTAAGCTGTGCAGCACTTTTTGGATTTGAAAGCAAAAAGATACCTTAAGGTGTGTTCTATACCCTAGGCACACATTCTGTCTACATTACTTCAGACCAAATACAGGTAGTCCTCGACTTACGACCACAAGTGAGCCTAAAATTTCTGTTGCTAAGTGAGATATTTGTTAAATGAGTTTTGCCCCATTTTATGACTTTTCTTGCCACAGTTGTTAAGTGAATCACTGCAGTGGTTGAATTAGTAACACTGTTGTTAAATGAATTTGGCTTCCCCATTGACTTTGCTTGTCAGAAGATCGCAAAAGGTAATCTCATGTCCCCAGGACACTGCAACCGTCATAAACATGAGTCAGTTGCCAAGCGTCTGACTTTTGATCACAGGACTATGGGGATGCTGCAACGGTTGTAAGTGTGAAAAATGGTCATAAGTTACTTTTTTCAGTGCCATTGTAACTTTGAACGGTCACTAAACAGACTATTGTAAGTTGAGGACTACCTGTATGCCTTTTCCTGGGACTTTGCCTTTTTGCTTTGAAATCCAAAGAACTGCACATCTATTTGCAAATGGATTCACCCAGTAAGCTAATCATGTGTATAGCTTATAATGTTGCATGAATGCAGGTGTTACGGTTTGCTAATGTTTATAGTTAACAAGTTGTCTGAACTTAGACAACTATTGTTATTAAAAATTATGGTTAAGCCAGCCATAAACCAATATTGTAAGAGCTTAGCTTTTGGGGGTTGGTTGAACAGAGAAAAGTAATGAAGAGATTTTTAATTCCAGATTTCCATCTTGGTTGTATGAACTAATTGATAGGATCTTTGAAATCCAAGTAGCTTTTTCTTGAATATTGCTTCTTCCTTTTTAAAAAGCAGTTATAAGTAAAGTACAGGTAGTCCTCGACTTACAACCGCAATTGAGGCTACATATTCAGTTACTAAGCTAGATAGTTGTTAAATGAGTCACACCCAATTGTATATTTTTTTTTGCCATGATTAAATTAAATTACTTCAGTCGTTAAGCAAATCCAGCTTCCCCATTGACTTTGCCTGTCAGGAGTTAGCTGGGGAAGTCACAAATGGTGGTCACATGACTTGGATATCAAGCTCCCGATTTTTGATCATGTGACCTTGTGGATTTTGCAATGGTGGTAAGTATGAGGGCTAATCCTGAGTCGCTTTTTTTGTTGTAACTTCAAATGGTCACTAAACAAAGGGTGGTTAAGTTGAGGGCTACCTGTATTTGGGCATTCTTTGAAAAAGCTGCAGCAGTTGAAATATTTTGATAATGAGACAGCCATTTCCAACTGGGTGTCCTTCAGAAGTTTAATTATGGTAGATGAACATGATGAGGGTTGGAGAAGATTGCTTGATTGTCAAACATTTAACAGTTGGTGATAGTCTTGGAATTAATTTCCTCAAAATGGTCATTATGAAGTTCTTTTTTAGAGAATTGAAACACGTCCTCTTGGGTGACTTTGGTGGAAAACATCTGTTTATAAATGTTGTATACAATATTAATATTGAGGCCTGATATACAGTATCTGGAGGCATTTGGAGTGTTCCAAATAATTTTTATGTAACTTCTTTTGTTATGATATAAAGTTAAGCTGCTGCTTGTGGTTGCAGTCTTTTTTTCTCCAGTTAGTTGATATTACATGTTTGGATCATTTGTTTAATGCTTTTTTATTTGTTTAGAGGGTAATAAATGAAAAATTAGTTGGAAGGAGTGGAAAGATAAGACAGATATGCAATATATATATATAAATAGAATGAATACAAATACGCTTCATTTATTAAGATCCACAGTAGAACTTACGGAACTTTGGATGCAGGTGATTTTATCTGATATGAATATTATCTTTGAAGCACTATAAAAACACTAATTTGACAAGCTATGCTATCTACATTTTTTCCCTATGTACAGCTTAAAGCTTTAGATGTCCTGTCTTCTTTAAGTCAAGCTTCCCCTTATATAGTTGTGATGTTTCAAACTGGCTCATTTAAATCTTGCTTAAAATATCTGCCTCTCAAGAGCTTGAGCATACATTTATTTTTACACTTTGCTTGCCTTTTTGTAGCTGCAAGCATTGATTTTAAAGCTGTGGCAAGAAGTAATTCACTTGATTAAGTGAGATTCCTGAGGGAATGTGGGGAGAAGAAAGGAGAATAATCTAAGCCTTGCAATAGGAGGAAAATGTGTGCTGAAGCCTTGCAAGATCAATTCTGTTTTCAACCTGACCTGCTTTCTTTATTGGAGTCATCTGTGGAATGCTTGTTCCCACAATAGAATTGTTGAGAAAGCAAGTTATTTTGTTTGAGATGACTTTTGTTTGTTCTCTTAGCAGCAATGATCCCAAGAGGAAATAGAAGATTCAGACCTGAAGGAAGCATGTTGAGAGGTGCTTGGAAGAAATAATTGACACAAGCTGTCCTGGAAATGCTTACCTTCCGATTAAAAGTCTCACTGAATAACGTGAGAAATATTTTGGAATAAATCTTAGGGCTTTGATGTGCAAATGCAGGCAGGTGAGAATGATGGGCAGATTTAGAGGACCGTTTTAATTTAATAAGTTATGTCTTCTTTTTGGGATGTCCTCTGCTTCAGGTTCAGTCTCCAAAGTATGCTTTGATGTGTTTGGTGGTATGAATGTAGCATCTATTTGCAATACTTTAAAGAAGCCATGTCTTTTCCTAAGATCTTGTGGTAGTTGCTGCAGCAGGTGCTTTGATGGGCTCTGAAGCACTTTTTGGAGACAAGACCTGAAAGTGTGCATAGCTTGAATTTCAGTATAACTTCTTGGTAAGCTAATAATCAGTACAAGTAGTTCTTGACTTAAAACCACAGTTGGTACCAGAATCTTGATCATAGAGTGAAGCTATTGTTAAGTAACATGCCCATGGCCCACTTCGCTCAATGACTGAAATCCTGCCTCTCCCAATTGTGGTCTTAAGCGATCTGCAGGGATACCTGGGGGAGGGGGGGCTGAGAAGTCTGGTATCCACTGAAGCAGAGAAACCTGCCATGGCCAGAAGGCCTGGTCCCTCTCCCTGCCCCACCATGCTCAGAAAGCCCAGTGCCTCTCCCCATCCTTCCATGTTCAGGTCCACTTACCTTTGCCTTTTTCTGCACCTGCTGACAGAAGGGCAGCTGAACTCTGCTATCCAAGATGATTGAGGTGAAGGTTGAAGAGGCTGTTTCCTTTCCAGAAAGATCCCAAAGGCAGTTTGTTTTTAAGAATGATCATCTTCACTACCA